GCGAGCATCGATGGTGATTGTCGACGGCGAACGTGCGCTGCACAACATGGAGGGGTTGCTGGGGGAGGAAGCGACGGCGTCCCGTTGGAGCCGGGCGACGACCGACGACGAGGGAAAGGTGCCTAACTGCGCTGCGAGGGGAGGGGTAGCGCGAGGCGCGACCTACTTTGAGGTCTACAGTCGGCGGGGCTGCCGGCGGGGCGGGAGACTACTCGCAAAGAGGGATCATGGTGTTGGAAGACGAAGTCAACGAAGGACGTGGGCCAGCTGGCAAAACAGACGGCTAATGACGCACTAATCGTGCAGCTGCGGTGCGACCGGCCCAAACTTGGGCCAGCGCACCGGCGCCTATCAGTGCCCTTTTTGCAAACGTCATCTGGATGATTTGTTGCAGTGGCAAAAAAGAAAAGAAAAAAAGAGCTCGGACTCCACTCGCTAGGGTCGCTACTCGCTACGCATATCACCGGAGGCGCGTGTCCACCTCAAAAGCGGCGGCAGCAGCCAGTCCCGCGCGATCCGGCCGTCCATCGTGATCTCGACGGGTATAAAGCAACCCACATCTTCCAATCCACCTGTCCCTCTTACCCAACGACCACTTCTCCCTTCCGGTCTCCTCGCCGCCCTCACCGCCATGTCCACCGCCACCGGCGCAGCCGCCTCGAACTCCCTCTCCCCCACCACCAGCCGGCGATCATCGCCATCTTCCAGGATCCTGACGACCCCTCGCGGATCTCTTTCTTGCAGACTACTATCCTCTTCCCCATCGCAATCTCCCCTCGGCCCGGTCTCTGCCATGGCCTCCCCGGGCGCTGCTGGCGAGGCGGCTTCCAGGAAGAAGCTTCTCATATTCGACGCCGAGAAGGACCTGGCGGCGTCTCTGGCCGAGCACGCGGCGGGACTGTCGGAGAAGTTCGCCGCCGAGAGGAGCGCTTTCACAGTCGTGCTTTCCGGCGGCTCTCTCATCAAAGCTCTGAGGTTCTTGGACCTCCTCGAGAATGAACACCGCACATTTCTTGCTTGGCTCTCGCGGGATTATGGGCCGGGAAGAGGTCTAATTTTTTTTATTTTTTTTTTTGGTATCACAGGAAACTGGCTGAGCCGCCGTACCTGGAGGCGGTGGACTGGAGCAGATGGCACGTTTTCTGGGCGGACGAGAGGGTGGTTCCCAAGGACCACGCGGATAGTAACTACAAACTTGCCATGGATGAGTTTCTCTCTAAGGTGCTCGTATGGACAATCTTTGATGAACTTACTGTTGGGTGGTTTAAAGATGGGTACAAACGGAAATGGGACTTCGATGACTATTTGAGCGGTGGCAGTAACGGGATATTCTGATGTTTTGTGTAGATTATATGCTATTATTTGCGTTCTGTTGGACTTGTCATTATTTATGGTTACGGTTCTGTTGATATGGGTTATTAACTTTATGTGATGGATAGTTTGAGAAAATGTAGAATACTAGGTTTACTAGGATTTGAACCCATTGTAAAAAAAACTAGAATTGAACCTGCACATGCACATTGTCACGTTATTGTAATTGTAGTGGTGTATTATCCTACGGTGAAAAAAAATGAAGTAGAGAACTTCCGTCAGCTACTACATAATGGGGATTGTGGACATAAATTAGAGAGCTGAATTATGCCTTTAGTTGAAATCTCAGTGAATAAGCAAAGATTGTTTCCTGGGAAATAACTTTGGAGACAATGTCACATCCACTGACCATTGTCCATCTAAAAACTTTGTTATTAGCTTTCAGTAAAGCTAGGTAGGTTGCCTTTTCTCTGAAAAGTTGTTCATCTAAATTATGGAAGATTGTACTTAATTGGTTTTGTGTTAAGTTATAGTAAGAAATCTGGAGCGGTCTAGAACTGAGAATTTATAGATTTGATCACTCAGATTTATGTTTGTTCGATGGTTGATTCTATGGGGAAAGAATTGAGGTGACATGGCATTCTTATAGGTTACATTTGGCAGTTGGCTCTCATATTTAGAAGATAAGATTAGCCTTAGTGGTACACCATATAATCGAATTGAGAGAGAGAGTTGTGTGCCTGGGGTTTTCTTTGTTAGCTCAGAAAAGAATATTTGTATCAGTATGAGTATGTAGTCTGTTGGTAGAAACTAGGGTTCTACCCGGTCTAGGGCGTAGCCTGTAAGGGAAGGAGGGAGGAGGTCGGAGGAGATTGCGTGGCGGCCGGCGGCTGGGCGCCGTCCTTGCGGCTGGTGTGACCGCGGCGGACGAAAGAGGCGGCTAGGGTTTAGGTCTCCCGGCTCCCTAAGGGAAGCCGAGCAAATATTGATTGCTTCTTGCTTGATTAGATTGATACATCTCCTCTCCTTATATAGAGAGGTTTACTTGACTCCTAAGCAAACGATCCTAATACGATAAGATAATTGGGCTAAGCCCCTAATAATGATTAAGATACTTGGGCCATAACCCACTGGGCTAAGCCCCTAATATGCTGGTCATAACATCTGTTCTATACGTTTATTTTGTCAATCAAACTAAAACCACACGTCATATTTGTACAGTTGAATTCAACTTGAACTTTGCTACATGTGTTACATAAATGTTCGAATTTCATATCTGTATCATCATTATATTTGTTTGACTGTATCATCATTATATTAACATCATGCATTCTAGTTATATGCCATCAATAAGAAATCTTCTCCATTGACAGGATTGTACTCACATTTGTACTCACATTTTTCTTTCTGTATGTCAAATATAGGTGCCGGTTCCTGCTAACCAAGTTTACGCCATGAATGATGCACTGTCGGTTGAGGGAGCTGCGGATGACTATGAAAATTGTTTAAAGCAACTCATCAAGAATGGTGTGATTGCGGTGTCACCAGTAACTGGGTTCCCAAAGTTTGACCTTATGCTTTTGGGGATGGGCCCTGATGGCCATATCGCCTCCCTCTTCCCTGGACACCCTATTGTCAACGAAAACCAGAAGTTGGTCACCTATGTCAAGGATTCTCCAAAGCCACCACCAGAGAGAATAACATTCACATTCCCTGTGATCAATTCGTCCGCACATATCGCACTTATGGTCACTGGTGCTGGGAAAGCTGGTGCAGTTCACAAAGCGCTTTCAGCCAATGAAAGTTCATCAGATTTGCTGCCCGTTGAGATGGTTGAGCCGCAAGACGGAGAGATGACCTGGTTCACTGACAAGCCAGCTATGTCAATGTTGTCAAGGATCTGAAGCCTGTTATGCTATAAAGTTGAAACTTCCACCTTCAGGATTCCGTTAGATCCGTGCTTGCACTGTTCATATCTATGTTGAAAAAAACGAGCTGATTTTGTAGCATATAGTAGAGCGTAAATGTGCGGCACATTACAGTTTATTCATAATATGAGTAACTAATGGCCATTTTATGGGATATATGTTCGTCGGGTATTTAGATTTGTGTTTGTAAATGGTATTCAGTATTTGGTACTGTTTCCATAGTCTACCCAGAATGTTCTTTGGACTAAGGTTGCCTTTATTCAACACTATTAGCGTTCTGCACTTGTCTCGGTTGCTCCACGATTGCTGTTATCCCATCTGTCCACTCCTTCCATTTCAATGAGTAAAGCGCGCATGAAATTCATTCCAATAAATAAGGTGCGTATGCTTTTTAAAATCCAACTTCGACTGTAAATTAGATCACTAATATACATTTTTTGACATAAAAATTATACTATCAAAAACTCCCTTTCAATACAAATTCAACAGTGTGATTTTTTATCACATAATATAATCCACATTTGATTGTTCTAATTTATGTTCAAAGTTGAAATTTAGAATGTGTGTGTGTCTTATTCATTTGAATGGAGGGACTGCATTTTTGGTTCTCAGTCGTACGTTCAGGCTGAACTAAGATCCACGTTCTCAGATGTAGTTCAGGTTGAACTATTTACTCAAAAAAAAAGTTCAGGTTGAACTAAGATACCTGTCATGCATTCCGCAACACATTCTACGACTAGATTATTAAGCATTTCGTGACAGCAGTTTATTTCTAAACCAAGGCAAAAGATTTGCCTCATCCAGTGATTAAGAGTTGTAGGTTCTGGTTGAACTAAGATCCCTGTGATGCATTCCGTAACACATTCTATGACTAGATGATTAGGCATTTTGTGACAACAGTTTATTTTTAAACCGCCTCATCCACTGGCTAGGCAAAAGAGAGTTTCAGTTAATTAACGAAAAACCGAGCAAAAATTGACACAAACAATTGCACGGCACACATAGAATACCTCACATGGACCTCAACAAAGAGAGCCTCATCGAGATAGCATACTTCGTCATCGTCTCCACATCTCTCCAAGCTGGCTTCATCACCATTCCTAATTCCCGAGCAAGCGACTACAACTTTATAGCAAATAATCATCGACCCTCACGTGAAGGTTTGTGCCAGAACTTTGCTAATCATGACAAGGACAACGCAACTCTAACTTTGATGGAGAGCTATGAAGGAGAACTATACAAGGCTCATGCCGTCAAAGACGACCGAACATACAACTTGTTGCCCATCATCGTTGCCAACGGTGCGCCGTTGCTGCAGCTCTGACTTTACATAGGCAATTCCACTGGCACGACGAAGGAGAGCTGACTACCACAATCATTGTTGTGACTCTGACATCACTCAACCTTTGTTTGCGGAGGTTACATTATGAGGCACCTTTCTGATTTTGCCACGATGGAGGAGGCAACTGCAGCTGCCATTTCTACACTTCTAGAGTACAACAATCCGCTTCAGATCACGTAAAAAATCTGGCACGGTGAAAATGGCAGCATTTTTAATCTAAGCAGAAGTATAAGGAATTTCATTAAATCTAATTAAATAGGGTAATCTCCTCTTTGTAGCTTACTGATGGTGCTAACTGTCGCGTCTTCTTTTCCCCTCTTTCCAAACATGAGCACATAATAAGAATGTAAATGCGTGAGTGTGTAGTAGACATGGTTTTAGAGGACCTATATCAAGATGGTGTATATACTAGGGGTGCGATGGAGAGACACCTAGATAGAAAGAGAGAATGTATGCGCATGAGAGAGAAGAGGGTCGGGCGAGGGAGCGTAAGAGACAAAGAGGAAGTCATAGAGATGGCACGTGTGTATGAGAGAGAGTGAGCGAGAGAGATAGGAAGAGAGAGAAGGAGGGATAAAGAGTCACGACGAGAAAGTGTGTGTCTATGTGAAAATAGAGCGTGAAACCTAAAGAGAGGAGGTGTGTCAGGAGATAGTGTGGCCCAACGATATGTAGCTAGTGTGTGTGGATGAGAAAGAGAGAGAGAAACAAAGATGGAGGGTCATAGTACAAATAATCCGAGAGTGAGACATACAAGATCAAAGACGATGGGGTGAGGGTTCATTCATTTATGTGAGTGAGAGAGAGAGAGAGAGAGACTCAGAGAGAAAGTTATATGCTTGGTGTGTACGAGAGAGGGAGAGATGGAGAAAACCCCAAGGGAGACAGGTCGAGCGTTTGTGTGGGAGAGATGATGTGTGGTGGGGGTATGGTCGAAATGGTGAGTCTCGTAGAGACAGGGAGGGATATCTCTTTATGAGGAAAGAGGGGAATTGGGTGCGTGTGTGTGCGACAAAGAAAGGTGGAGAGAGAGGAAGAAGCCCCTAAGAGAGAGATACATGTAACGAGATACTCCTACCGAACTAGGGAAAGATCAAATGTGTATCTGAGAGAGGAGTGAGTGTGCAAAAGTGGGTGTGTGTGTGTGTAAGAGAAAGGGACAACTCATGATAAAGTAGAGACAATGTGTGTGCCTTATGGAGAGATAGCATGCCGCGTCTCCGAGAGAGAAAATGAGGTCATGAGATACACGAAGAGAATGGGTGGATTTGTGCAACAGAGAGATAGACCCCTAGCACGTGGCCAAGAGAGGTTTGGTAAGAGCAACTCTAGCAGACCCTGCATCCCGTCGGCCCACAAAACGTGTTTGCAGTTCACACAAAACCGTTTTTGCAGGCCGACGCGGGCTGGCTCAGATGCAGACCCCCCAAACCGATCCATAAAAAAGTATATTCACGGAATATGCCTTTTTATGGGTCGGCTTCTGCGGGATCTGCTCGGGCACCACCGCGACGACCCGCAAACAGATAAACTGCAAATCTCGCATTTGATATAGGATTTCACAAACAAGTTCAAATTCAAACGACATAAACAGTTTCACGCGCAAATAGAACCCAAGTTCATTACGGCTAATGCAAAAGAGGGCCCTGCAAAATGTGTGCGCCCATGTCCGGCATCATCTTGGTCGATCTTCACTCCGCACCATCGAGTCCACCTTGAAGTTCATCAGCGCCACCGAATCCACCTCCAGCGCTTGTTCCAACCCCCGCACCGAAATCATCCACATTGCCACCATATGGAGCGGAGAAAACATCACCGGAACTGTAGCACGGACCGGCCGACGCCACCATTCTTCTCTTCAAGATTTCTCTCCTTGCCCTATCATGCCATGTTTTGGTGAGGTCTTCCATGTCATTGCGGTTCATTGACATGATCTTGTTCTCTTCGGCGAGCAACATGGACATGGATTTGTTTTCAGCGGCGCGTGCTCTTCTCTCCTCGATGGCAGCTTTGCGCAGCCCCTCTTCTTTGAGCAACAGCCACTTTTCTTGCTTCTCCTTCGCCTTCTTCTCAGCCAACTCTTTCTTAATCTCCAACGACTTCAACAACATCGACTCGTTGGATTGCACCATGGCATCAATCTTCTCCCTCAAGCTCGATGCTTCTTGCTCTCTCTTCATCTTCTCCTTGATCTTCTTGTCGCCATCGGGCTTGTGCAAATTTCTTCGGCCATCATCATCCTCATATTCATCCATGTTTGTAAGTGAGCCTCTCTTTGGTGGGGATTCTTTGTCGATCAATTTCCACTTCTCGCACTTTTGGAGCAACTCCCAACAATGCTCTAGTTTGAAAAGTTTGCCTTCCGAAGCTTCCATGTCCTTGTATCTATGTTGAGCAATCTTGTCCTACACAATGTGAACAAAGTGATCCAATAATTTCCCATGATGCAATATGATGATGCACAATTTGAACAAAGGCAAAACAAACTCACATAGTCGGACTCCATAGTGCCACTTGGAGGTGCATTGCGTACTTGCTCCAAGCAAGCTGCCCAACGGCTGCACATAGGCTTGATATTCTCCCAACGCCCTTGAAGCGACCGAAATGTGCGTGGAGTCCTATTGGGATGCTTTGCCATAATGCGGAAGTATTGATCTTTGATCCTTTTCCAATATCTCTTGGATGTTTGAGAAGTACCCGTGCATGCATCAAGAGACACCGCACTCCATGCTTGAATCAAAGCTTGATCTTCCAAAATCGTGTAGTTCTTTGATCTGATGCTTTTCCTAGATTTTGCTTGCGATTGCTCAAACACTTCCGCTTCGATCTCCTCCAATTCGTCTGCACAACCATGATCATCCACGCCGTCCTCCGTTTCATTATAGTCGAATGGTTCGAAAGGGGCTTGATCAATGTCAACCGCGTTCGTGTCCAACAAGTTCACGAACTCGGTTGTTGCATTGTTCGAACCACTGCTATAGCGAACGATAACAAGTCACGCGCTATCGAGAATAATGGAGAAAAATGAAAGGGAACCGCCAAGATTGAAGACGCATACCTTCCGGCCATTTCGTCGAACACCTCGCTCGCGGGGGGAGCGGCATCGTTGAACGGCATCGCCGGAGCACCTCCTTGCGGGGGGATGGAGTGGGAGGTTGAAGAAGGTGGCTTATTTGAAGCCGGAACCTTCCTCCGCTTTACACCCGCGACCTTGTCGACCTTCTCCGCCGCCGGCCGGGATCGCGCTGCCGCGTTGGCGCCCGGAGCGCAGGCCACCGCGGCGGGGGCAGCTGGATTCTTGCCCTGCACGACCACGTTGCCCTGCCGCTTGCGGGCAGGCGCGTCGTGGGCTTGGGCGATGGCGGCGGGGACAACATGGCCGGCGACGAGATCCACCTGAGGGGAAGGGACGTGCACGACCTCGATGGTGACGGGGGACGGCATGGGGTCGTCCATGGTGGCGAGGGACGGCCGGGGAGGAGGAGCCGGAGCTTGCGGAGGGGGGGGGCAATGGTGGAGGAGGGTGCGGGGAGCGGGAAAGGGCGCGTGGAAATGTCCCTCCCGCCAAATCTCGCGCGGGATGGGGGTTGAGCTCGGGTCGGCCTCCCAGCCCGTGAAGATAGAGGTTGGGGGA